GTATGACAATGTCTAGGGTTTACTGAGAATGGTGCGACAAACAAAAAACATCCAGTCAGCGGCAGTCCTGTGGGCGAAAACAGCTTTTTGATTATAGAGGTCGAACGAGAATGGCAAGAAACTGCACAGTACAACAGTGGTGTGCAGAACGACATCTCGGAACGCACAACTTGTCGGTCCTTGTCACAGATAGATCCCCGAGCCGACTAGGTGAAAAATCTGTCAATGTGCCCTTGAGCAAGGCACTTAACCCTAATTGCTCCTGTAAGTCACTCTGGATAAGAGCGTCTGCTAAATGACTAAAACAAAACAAAACAAAACAAGATAGGCTATTGCAGCAGACGACCACACCGGGTTCCACTCCTATCAGCTAAAAAACAAGAAGAAGCGCTCCAGTGGGCACGCGATCACCAACACTGGACAATTGAGGAGTGGATAAACATCACCTGGAACATGACAGCGAGTTCAGTTTACTTGAGTGGTCTGCGCAGTCCCCAGACCTCAACCCAATAGAGCATCTTTGGGATGAGATGGAACGGGCTGTTCGTAGCATGGATGTACCACCGTCCAATCTGCAGCAACTGCGTGATGCCATCGTGTCGGCATGGACCAACATCCTTGTGGAACATTTCCGACACCTTGTACAATCCTCCGAAGAATTCAGGCTGTTCTGGAGGCAAAGGAGGGTCCGATCTGGTACTATACTGAACAAAAATATAAACACAACATGTAACAATTTCAAAGATTTTGCTGAGTTACAGTTCATATAAGGAAATATAATAAATGAATTATCCCTTAATCTATGGATTTCCCATGACTGGGCAGGGGCGCAGCCATGGGTGGGCCACCCACTTGAGAGCCAGGCCAACCCACTGGGGAGCCAGACCCAGCCAATCAGAATGATTTCTTCCCCACAAAACGGTTTTATTACAGACAGAAATACTCCTCATTTTAGAGGCTTTGACTCATTCACTATGACACAATGCTGAATTGCAGCTCATAATAATCTGGGCATATTGGTGTGAATTTGCACTGGTGATAAATGAGATATGATCAAATGGATATAGATAAGACTCAAACTATAAGAATGAAATGAGAGCCAGAATCTTCATGTCTGCACAACATATAGCTTCAGGCATAGACTGTTTCCCAGCTCAATCCCTGGCCTGCAAACTGACCAGTGGCCACAGGTGCTAAACACCTGGCAGTTCTTATGGCTGTGCTTGCTTGGCTTTAGCTGATAACAAATACGGCTTGGGGTTCATTTTCTATCTATTTATTCTGTATTTCGTTTTGAAGATAGTTCCACAAAGCCTACTGTTTAGATAGCTAATACAATCAAGACCTAACACTTGATTACAATCAAATCCATCCAGTTTTATAAAGAGTTATATAAATGATTCACTAATGTGACTAAAATGCAGTACAGTACAACATGTCCACAGTTATTCATTATTATCATAGTTGTTCAAGAGCCAGGAAGGATAGGTCAACATCTAAAATTGGGAGTGGACAAGATGCACTGGCAGTAATTAAGGATGAGAGTGCTGAATGAAAGGAAAGATGAAGAACAACGTTCCTCTGGAAATAGACCCCAGGGATTAAACAGGAAAAGTCAAGCTTCCAGGACTGATGTTTTGGTTGATTGCAGGGGCGGACTTAGTGATTTGGAGGCTCCGGGCAGAGGCCAGTCTGAGCCCCACCCCCACCCCTCCTATGTGTGCCCAAAAAATATATGGGTTTTATAGTGAAGACATGTAAAATTGTACAACATTTTAATGTGTCATGAACACAACCAGTCATGATGTTTTCATCTGACTGTCAAACAAATCACTTCAAAAAGTAGGTTACCTTTGCACATTCATCCAAATAATTCCAGCATCCGAACAGTGCACTGTGCACCCGCCAACTTTCCTTCAATTCGCAAGTGGCTGAAACTGTCTTACTAGAGAAAGAATCTGAGCGAGTGAAACAGCGCCCTTCTGTCTTACTAGGACTATATGTAACCCATGTATATTTACATTTGACATTTTAGTAAATTAACAGATGCTCTTATCTAGAGCAACTTACAGTTAGTGACATTCCATACTGTTTTTGGCCAGACAGCATCCGATACATGGGCTACACATACATGTCTTCTGCCTCAATGACGACGGCAGTATTATCAGCAGCACCTGTCTTTTTACTAAAGAAATGCATATTGCATCCCTCTAGAGTGTAAGGGCCCGGGGCTGGGTTTCTAGTAAGTTAACATATGGAATTGTTTTAAGATGGTCATATCAAGGATCATTTAGCTATTTGATTTTGGACCCCTGTAGGTATAAAAAAATATATATAAAAAACTATTTGATGAAACGTTGAATTTGGCCTTACTGATATCAACCCATAGAAACGCATTGAATAACATATTCATGAATAAATAAATAAAAAGGAAGTATGTTTTGAAGTGTCTGTCCTATGTCTGAGCGATATAAGAAAAATCTGGAAAATAAATGCATTTTTTTCTGTGGAATTACCTGTATACCTTTTACGTGGGAATGCCCTATCCACATCCATTCATTCCACACACAGTACGAATATTAAAGTGACCGGGATTGCACAATAAAAGTCAGGGACTTTCCATTGTGGTCCCTCAAACGGAAAACACCATTGTGACCCTCCTGTAGCTCAGTTGGTAGAGCATGGCTCTTGCAATGGCAGGGTTGTGGGTTTGATTCCCACGGGGAGCCAGTATGAAAAATGTATGCACTCACTAACTGTAAGTCGCTCTGGATAAGAGCGTCTGCTAAATGACTAAAATGTGTTTGTGAGAGTCTCATCTTTCCATTGTGGAGAAGACTGATTTTCGGGATGTCTCCCGGTCTGACAAACACTGATGTAGTCACCTTCCACCGGTTGTCACTATTTACCACAGCCACCAACTCAGAATTGGCTATATTGTAAAAAAGTATGAAAACAAACATTTGAGGTTAGGCATAGGGTTAGCAGTGTGGTTAGGTTTAAGGTTAGTGTTGGCTTTAAAATCAATTTTTAAGAGGATCAATTTTTTAAATAGGTGGGGTTTAGCCATAATGATGACTTTGTGGCTGTGGTAACTAGTGACAACCCCCTTCCAAGGCAGATGCAGAAGGCCGACATCGGTGGATACGGTGGATTGAGACGCAGCCTATGCAAAACAACGGATATCTCTAGCTTAAACAGATAGATTTTTATGGGGATGGAGCATGGGGGCCCCTCATGAGGCCCCTTGATGATGTGAGGCCTGAGGCAGGCATTTCTGCCTAATGGTAAGTCCACCAGTGGTTGTTTGACTAGAAAGTTTACCAATATCTTCCATCCTGAAGAATAAATATTTTCTTAATAAAAAACAATTAATTAAATACCAGAAATTTAGTTGATTACAAAATAACTCTCTTGCTTGCATTTTATTTTGGTCAAATCCAACCAAAATACATTTGGTAAGGAGCAAGGTGACCAGTCAAAGTAATTTTTTTCTAACATAAACATAATAAATAAAAGTGGTGATTGAACAGTGAAAAGACGCTGGACTGGGTTCAAACCCAAACCCATGCAGAACAGCAGTAAAATAACAGGTAGCCTATTAAGTTGTTGTGTGTGAGAGTGAGTAGTCCAAATATGAGAAAGATTTAATCCCCCTTTGATTCTTTATCCAATGAGGTTTTCTGTAAAGCACAAACAGTGTCTTTGTGTCCCATTCAGACATGGGCAGCTTCAAGGGAGCCTGTGTGTGTACACCCTAACCAGACCAGACCCTAACAGCTCATGGAAACTGTTGCCACACCCTCAGTCAGTCCACTCAGCAATATGTGTTATAGTAGGACTAGATGTCAGCAATTCGTCCAAGAACCTATTGCAAAGTCATTTTTAAAAAGCATTAGAATGTCCATTAAAAAGAGGGTAACCAATAAGGGAGATAGACTGAACATGACCCTAAAAGGCAACACATCACAAACCCATCCATACATAAGAAAAATTGATTTGATAATAAGAAGCTATTCAAGTGTTCGTTTTGGGAGAACTTTCATTATTCTAGTACACTGTACTTCTTCTTCTTCTTCTTCTTCTTCTTCTTCTTCTTCTGTGGATTTTAAGGCGGACTACATCCAAAAGTTGTATTGCCGCCACCAACCGGACGGTTTGAAACCAAAAATAATATAAAAATAAATAAATTCATACTTTAATAGTGATTCTAACAATCCACCCTAATAAAAATAGTGTATTGCCAAAACAAACTAAATTCCCACTTCTTCCTTCTTTTAGTTCTCCATATCTCCCTTCTGAGGCTCTAGGACCTGAGAAGGTAATACGACTTTTGCTAATACTCCATGTAACCTTTACTGTGAAATCTTTCAGCCCCAGGAACCGCTCCGCCGCAATCACAATGATTTCAATCTTCCTAGATATTTTCTCCACCTTGGCAGTGCCATTTATCACCATTGCGATAAAGGCCACAAAGTCCACCTTTTTAACCTTTAAAATGTCAGGATCCTCTTGGTGTAAGACAACCCCTGCAGCCTGCAGCGAAGGCCTATCAACTACCATGGACTCTTCTGGTGCAACATTCAAACCCTCAACCCTTTTCACAGCTTCTGCATATGAAATGATCTGTACAACCCTGAGTTTGGCCACCTCATTCTCCTTTACCCTTGTGGGGCATTCAGAAGATGTGGTTTCATGATTCCCACCGCAATTACAACGTCACATTCTCTTCACTTTTATAACACATATTACACGGGCCCTGTGTAGCTCAGTTGGTAGAGCATGGTGCTTGCAACGCCAGGGTTGTGGATTCGATTCCCACGGGGGGCCAGTATGAGAGAAAAAAGTATGCACTCACTAACTGTAAGTCGCTCTGGATAAGAGCGTCTGCTAAATCACTAAAATGTAAATATTATGATATTTTCCACATCTTGTACATCTCAGCGTGAGGCTGTTTTGTCTCCTTCCCCAATTGTTCATTGTAATAGAATATGGGCGTGTCTTAAACTCATGACGGCATTTCCTGTGGAGGCGGGGCTTAGCTTCAGCGGAGAATACTGCGGACTTTGAAATAAAATAAATTCACGCGGCCAGGGGAGTATGCTACATATATATATTAATTACATACGCCAACACTTTTATACAACTAAATTGTAGACTGCATTTTTCCCTTTTTTAATGGAGTAACTGAATAAGGAATGACCCGCGGGGGAGTGAATTGACCGTGACTTTTCGCAGAGGAGAAAGTACCTCCCGTTGCCAACAAGGCAATTGTTGCTGTGTCTACGCTGGGTAGCGGATCACGACGGGGATTTTAAAGAAGATACATTTACGTATGTTGCCTCGGAAATAAATCACGCCGATAAGGTAAGTATTTATATTTTGATAATTGTATGAATCCTGTTTTTCATCCGTTCTTGATTACTCTCCAGTGTTGTAAAGTACTTAAGTAGTTTTTTTGGGGTATCTATACTTTACTTTACTACTTATGTTTTTGACAACTTTTACTTTTACTTCAGTACATTCCCAAGGAAAATCAAGTACTTTTTACTCCATACATTTTCCCTGACAACCAAAAGTACTTGTTACATTTTGAACGCTTAGTAGGAAAGGGAAATGGTGAAATTCACGCATCAAGATAACACGTTGTCATCCCTACTGCCTATGGTCTGGCGGACTCACGAAACACTAATGCATCTTTTGTAAATTATGTCTGAGTTTTGGAGTGTGCACCTAGCTATCCGTAAAATTTAAAAACAAGGAAATGGTGCTCTCTGCTTTGCCTAATATAAGGAATTTGAAATGATTTAAACTTTTACTTCTACTTTTGATACTTAAGTATATTTTAGCAATTACATTTACTTTTGATACTTAAGTATATTTAAAACGAAATACTTTTAGGCTTTTACTCAAGTACTATTTTAGTGGGTGACTTTTACTTTTACTTTAGTAACTTTCTATTAAGGTATCTATACTTTTACTGAAGTATGACAATTTTCCACAAGTGAAGGACTTGGATAATGGCTAACTCAAAGTGTCATTTAAAAAAACACCACCGTCTAGAGGTCTTCATTGATCCACCTGTACCCGAATACCCAGGACCCGAGCGGGTCCGGATCCAGAATTATAAATATTGTCACGGGTCTGGGTCGGATCTGATATGATTGTCACGGGTCTTGGGAATCTGTAATTTCAACTGACTTGTCCGGAAGGACCCGTACAGATCCGAATGTAACTGCTGCAGTAGAGAGAGAGTAGTAATGGGTGGCTCTTTTTTGGTGAACGTCGGAACCAAATTGCATTGGTGAAAGAGCCATTCATTTGGCTCCCAGATTTGCAGACTCCTACTACTGCTTTTTAAGCTCCATTTTTTTCTTCTTCTGCAGATAAGTTACAAAATCATTCTCTAAAGAAGTTAGGAAGTTTCTGGTAAATTGTCCACATTGTTACACACTCAACCCCCTTCTCCACCTTAGGGGATTGTATAATGGATGCTGTGCTTATCTCCTCACCATTAGCATAGTAGCATTGTCCACTCACCCATTTCTTCTGTTAAAGCTATACCCCTAAATAGAGTAGAAACATTGAGGCTGATTTCTCTCTAGGCTATCTGTAAAAGGCCTGGTTATAATGGGAGGTAATAAACGATCTGGTGGCAGGGAGGCAGAGGTCTGCTATTCTCAGTGTGTCACAGGATAACAGTCAGGAGCTAATTCAATAAAACAACCCCGTCTCACATGGCATTCTTCTTCCTTCACTAGCCTGCAGTCTCTCCTCCCTGTCCCTCCCTCCCTCTCTCTCTCATTCCCGCCTTCTCCATCACCCTCCTTCCCTCCATCCATCCCTCCCTCCCTCCCTCCTGTAAATAGCCCAGCTAGGCTCAAAAGTCTTCCTGCCATGGATATCGATCCCCATCCGGTACACACACACACCCTTTGACGACTCAGGTCAATGAATCATTCCCCATTTTACACTCAGTCCCCAGCTCAACCCTCCTTAACGACAGGGAGACTAAATGCACTTTCTGTTTCCCTGGCTAAAAGGACCGTTAGCGAACCACAGCTTACATGGGACAATGAGAGTAATGGCCCATGTCATGAGTTAATACAGTTACTGTTTATATCTATAATATATAGGGGTCCAGACCATGTGAACACCTGACCAGGAAGAACTCTGGGCCCTAAAGCTATATCAGTTAATTGGTCCTTTTTGTCAAGGGAAGGAAGAATGTATGCATTAGGTCGCCAAGTCTAATATCTTCTATGGTACTACAAATGTAAACAAACACACAGTATTCACCATCACCTTTATTACTGTATCCTCACACATTTTCTTTTTTTTTCAGATGGACCTGAAACTACTTCTGAAATCAGTGTTGTTAGGAGTCATTTGTTACAGCAGTGCTCAGCAAGGTAAGATGATTCTCCTCCATCTTATATCAAGTTTCTGCCTTACTTACTGTAGCTTCCACCTTGTTAGACAAAATCAATCCTCAACAGTAACATCAGTAGTCTGTTTCTGTACACTGTTAATGCAGTACATCATCTAATCATAATATATTTCTACTAAACCGCATCATAAATAAACAGTACAGAATAGTGGTTAACTGCCTGATGTCCCGTATGGGTAGCCAACCCCAACTGAGCATGCTGCTGTAATGTAATGATGTCATTAGCCAGAGGAAAAAGCAGCTCCACCTACACTGTAAACCCCAAGACATTTTTAACTGAAATACTTCAAGTAAGGTGAACTCAAAGTCAATGAAAGGTCATTATTAATTAAAATGTTTCAGTTGTACTGACTCAAAATTAAACAAGGCAACAGTAAACATGTCGTCCCCCACAAATGCACAAATGATGCAGTGCCCCCCTTGAGCAAATTGAGATTGTGTGTGACTAACAAATTTAAGTTAATTACTATAGCTCCCACCTTAGGCCAATCAGTGTAATTTTGTAAATGCAGAATCTCTATGGCAAGACACATCATTCACCCAAGTTCCGTCAAAAATCATGCCAGTGCTGTCTGAGGTATCGCGTGACTCACGTACAAACAAACGAACGGACGGACAGAGACAGATCCACAGTTTCCTCCCCGATTTCATCGTGGTGGACAATGAGAAGTCACATCAACTACATTTTTAAAGTTATGATCACAAATACACTTTTTTCCCAGCATGCTCTACTGCAGGTAGATTTATTAATTTATTTTTGTAATATCTGTGTTTTTACATGTACAGTGCATTCGGAAAGTATTCCGACCCCTTGACTTTTTCCACATTTTGTTACATTACAGCCTTATTCTAACATTGATTAAATTGTTATTTTTCCTCATTAATCTACACACAATACCCTATAATTACAAAGCAAAAACAGTTTTTTTTGACATTTTTGCAAATGTATAAAAAAAAAAAAAAAACGGATATCACATTTCAATAAGTTTTCAGACCATTTACTCACCTTTGGCAGCGATTACTGCCTCGAGTCTTCTTGGGTATGACCCTACAAGCTTGGCACACCTGTATTTGGGGAATTTCTCCCATTCTTTTCTGCAGATCCTCTCAAGCTCTGTCAGGTTGGATGGGGAGCATCGCTGCACAGCTATTTTGAGGTCTCTCCAGAGAGGTTTGACCGGGTTCAAGTCCGGGCTCTGGCTGGGCCACTCAAGGACATTCAGAGACTTGTCCTGAAGCCACTCCTGTGTTGTCTTGGATTTGTGCTTAGGGTCCTTGTCCTGTTGGAAGGTGAACCTTTGCCCGCAGTCTGAGGTCCTGAGCGCTCTGGAGCAGGTTTTCATCAAGGATCTCTCTGTACTTTGCTCCGTTCATCTTTGTCTCGGTCCTAACTAGTGTCCCAGTCCCTGCAGCTGAAAAACATCCCCACAGCATGATGCTGCCACCACCATGCTTCACCGTAGGGATGGTGCCAGGTTTCCTCCAGACGTGATGCTTGGCACTCAGGCCAAAGAGTTCAATTTTGGTTTCATCAAACCAGATAATCTTGTTTCTCATGGACTGAGAGTCTTTAGGTGCCTTTTGGCAAACACCAAGCGGGCTGTCATGTGCCTTTTACTGAGGAGTGGCTTCCGTCTGGCCACTCTACCATAAAGGCCTGATTGGTGGATTGCTGCAGAGATGGTTGTCCTTCTGGAAGGTTCTCCCATCTCCACAGAGGAACTCTAGAGCTCTGTCAGAGTGACCATCGGGTTCTTGGTCACCTCCCTGACCACGGCCCTTCTCCCCCGATTGCTTTAGTTTTTGGCCGGCCAGCTCTAGGAAGATTCTTGGTGGTTCCAAACTTCTTCCATTTAAGAATGATGGAGGCCACTGTGTTCTTGGGGAACTTCAATGCTGCAGAAATGTTTTGGTACCCTTCCCCAGATCTGTGCCTCGACACAATCCTGTCTCGGCTCGACACAATCCTGTCCTCTGAACTCTATGGACAATTCCTTCCTTTCGACCTCTTGGCTTGGTTTTGCTCTGACATGCCACTGTCAACCTGTGGGACGTATATAGACAGGTGTGTCCTTTCCAATCATGTCAATCAATTTACTTTACAACCACTGGTGACTCCAATCACGTTTATAGTAACATCTCAGGATGATCTGGAAACAGGATGCACCTGATCGCACTTTCGCGTCTCACTCATTGCAAAGGGTCGAATATTATGTAAATAAATAAGGTATTTCTGTTTTTTTTTAAACCTGTTTTCGCTTTGTCATTATAGGGTATTGTGTGTAGATTGCTGAGATAAAAAAAAAAACAATTTTAGAATAAGGGTGTAATGTAACAGAATGTGGAAAAAGTCAAGGGGTCTGAAATATTTCCGAAGGCACTCAAAATCACTTTAGGTAACTGTTCTCAGATATGTTAAGTGCAACGGGTTTCCTCAGAAGTTTTGAGTAATGACAGCACATTGGGGTTTACAGGGTAGGTTTCTTTGAGCATAGTAGTGAATACATCATGGAACTATGGAACAGCGGAATATTCCATTCTGTCTCTAGCTCCAGTTTTCCAAATTACACAATGTGTACACTCTGGCTTATTTCCTGGTTAGTTTTTAGGAGTCTATGATGAGTTTGCTTCTTTTCAACCTTTGTTTTTCCATTCCATTCCAGAAGGGAACGAGTGCATCAAGGCTAATGCCAAATCCTGTGGGGTGTGTATTCAAGTGGGAGCGAAATGTGGCTGGTGCATGGTGCATGGACCCAGTACGTGGATATGAATTTGCCAATAACTTTGTTACATTTACATTTTCATTTACATTTTCGTCATTTAGCAGACGCTCTTATCCAGAGATAATGTTACTTCATTGATGTTACACAACCTTAATATCAACTGACTCAGCATTACAACTTGCAGGTGTATGCAAATCAAAGAAATAAGAATGTAATCTAAACTGTTCCTTGGAATTACAACACCAGTGTGTCAGGCAATATTGTTTATAACCTTTATAAACTGCTTGGGAGTGTAGGAAATACATTTTCAGAAAATAAGGACCTTACATTTTTGGGTGGATTTCCTCTATGAATGCCATAGTGCAATATGTCATGATACTGATACCTCCTCTCTTCCAGGAGTTCCTGAAGCAGGGTGAGGCCACATCGACCCGCTGTGATGAGCTGGAGTCCCTGAGGAAGAGAGGTTGCAGCGCCGCCAAGGTAGAGAACCCTGGAGGCAGCCAGCTTGTCCTGAAGAACAAGGCTGTGACCAACCGCAACAAGGGAGCAGGGAATCTCCGACCAGATGACATCACACAGAAACTCACCCTCAGCGTCAGATCTGGTAAGAACTTAGCTGGAACTGTTAAGTTTGATTAAGTTGTGTCCCAAATGGCACCCTTTCCCTATTTAGTGTTAGGAATAGGGTGCCATTTGAGATGCAGTCTAAGTTAACTTTGCTTCAGCCAAAACATCTTGCTTGACAACCATTGTTGAAGCAGCGTTGCTGAGGGTCTTTTTTTATTTCTCCTGCTGTTCCTCTGTGGTCTTTCATTGTTATGTTGATTAGTTACAGTAGCCTCCATTTTCTTTGTGTGTTTTAGCTATTAACTGTACAGCTGTAATTATGATGTGGAAGGAGTATTCCTTGTACTCTTTCATGTGAAGGCCAGCACCTTATTTGACATGGACAGTGCACATTTATCAAGATTTCAGTGTTCACATCAATATAAATATGCCAGAGTTAGCAAGTCTGTAGTCCCCGGCTTAACCTTGCCTATTTGTCTGTGTACTGCAGGTGAACCCCAGTCTTTTAACCTGAAGTTCAAACGGGCTGAGGATTACCCCATCGACCTCTACTACCTGATGGACCTGTCCTACTCCATGAAGGACAATCTGGAAAACGTCAAGAACCTAGGAACACAGCTGATGCTGGAGATGTCAAAGATCACATCTGATTTCAGAATCGGTGAGATTGAGAAACAGCCCGGTTGTATGAGGTTTGAGGATGTTCATATTTGTTTTAACTTCTTCTCCACTTCAAATGTATCTCTTCTGCTTTCAGATCTGGTTGGGTGCATATTGCATAGTTATACAACGGGTGGGTCTAATCCTGAATGCTGATTGGTTAAAACCGCATTCCAGCCGGTGTCTATTCCACAAGTTACCACCAGCTAAATCTGTGATGTTAAAATGCCTATTTACTCTGTTCCATCTGACTGCACAATCCAGTGACTCATCAGCCCAGCCAGGCAATGTATAAACTTGAGCTCCACTATAATAAATAATGTAGACATTATCTCACATTTCTTTTAGACTAACATTTAGTTTTCAACAGCAGAGATTTGTATAAACCTTGCTGTCTGTCTCTCCGACAATTGCAACATTGTTTCAATATTCAAATTCAATCTCCAGCTGTCCCATAGTAATGTACGTGTCGGGAGTTGGGACGAGACAGACAGGCAGGCAGCGTTTCTCGGCCAGTCGAAATCATGAATCAGCTGGCATCATTTTTATGGATATATAGAAAGAAATGTCAATTGAAAAAAGGTCAAACGAAAGGAAGTGCAGCTAAACTCAGCAAAAAAAGAAACGTCCCTTTTTCAGGACCCTGTCTTTTAAAGATAATTTGTAAAAATCCAAATAACTTCACAGATCTTCATTGTAAAGGGTTTAAACACTGTTTCCCATGCTGTGGAACGATCATTAAGACAGCTTACAGATGGTAGGCAATTAAGGTCACAGTTATGAAATATTAGGACACTAAATAGGCCTTTCTACTGACTCTGAAAAATACCAAAAGAAAGATGCCCAGGGTCCCTGCTCATCTGCGTGAACGTGCCTTTGGCATGCTGCAAGGAGGCATGAGGACTGCAGATGTGGCCAGGGCAATAAATTGTAATGTCTGTACTGTGAGACGCCTAAGACAGCGCTACAGGGAGACAGGACGGACAGCTGATCGTCCTCGCAGTGGCAGACCATGTGTAACAACACCTGCACAGGATCGGTACATCCGAACATCACACCTGCGGGACAGGTACAGGATGGCAACAACAACTGCCCGAGTTACACCAGGAACGCACAATCCCAGCATCAGTGCTCAGACTGTCCGCAATAGGCTGAGAGAGGCTGGACTGAGGGCTTGTAGGCCTGTTGTAAGGCAGGTCCTCACCAGTCATCACCGGCAACAACGTCGCCTATGGGCACAAACCCACCGTCGCTGGACCAGAGAGGACTGGCAAAAAGTGCTCTTCACTGACGAGTTGCGGTTTTGTCTCACCAGGGGTGATGGTCGGATTCGCGTTTATCGTTGAAGGAATGAGCGTTACACCGAGGCATGTACTCTGGAGCGGGATCGATTTGGAGGTGGAGGGTCCGTCATGGTCTGGGGCGGTGTGTCACAGCATCATCGGACTGAGCTTGTTGTCATTGCAGGCAATCTCAACACTGTGCATTACAGGGAAAGACATCCTCCTCCCTCATGTGGTACCCTTCCTGCAGGCTCATCCTGACATGCCCCTCCAGCATGACAATGCCACCAGCCATACTGCTCGTTTTGTGCGTGATTTCCTACAAGACAGGAATGTCAGTGTTCTGCCATGGCCAGCGAAGAGCCCGGATCTCAATCCCATTGAGCACGTCTGGGACCTGTTGGATCGGAGGGTGAGGGCTAGGGCCATTCCAACCCCAGAAATGTCTGGGAACTTGCAGATGCCTTGGTGGAAGATTGGGGTAACATCTCACAGCAAGAACTGGCAAATCTGGTGCAGTCCATGAGGAGGAGATGCACTGTAGTACTTAATGCAGCTGGTGACAACACCAGATACTGACTGTTACTTTTGATTTTGACCCGCCCCATTTGTTCAGGGACACATTTTTCAATTGATTTAGTCACATGTCTGTGGAACTTGTTCAGTTTATGTCTCAGTTGTTGAATCTTGTTATGTTCATACAAATATTTACACGTTAAGTTTGCTGAAAATAAACGCAGTAGACAGTGAGAGGACGTTTCTTTTTTTGCTGAGTTTAGTTTGCAGTCTTTACAGCTTCAGTTTGAAATGATTGTGTTAGCTGTGTTGTTGGCTAGCTCCTCTTAACAACATTGTCCTTACGAGTGAGCACATTTTCTATGCCAGGCGAAGTCACGCCTCATTTTCTCATTGTTATGGTTGTATCCAAATAAATATTACTAGAAAACAGCTTAAACAAATGCAAATGCAAGGACTGGGAGACTAGTCAGGATCGAGGGAAAGTTGAACGGAGCAAAGTACAGAGAGATCCTTGATGAAAACCTGATATATCATTTGCAAAAATTTCAAAAAAATACAGTTTTTGCTTTGTCATCATGGGTTATTGTGTAGATTGATGAAGGGGAAAACATTTTTTAAATCCATTTTAGAATAAGGCTGTAACGTAACAAAATGTGGAAAAAGTCAAGGGGTCTGAATACTTTCCAAATGCACTGTAATGTGTTGTAAATCTATTTCTATGGTCCATTGACATGTGACTGTTTTCAAGTGTATTGCATCTGTTTGCATGTGAATATTCTACATAGGCAGTCTTTTATGCAGTCCTCCCTTGTTGTCTTTATTATCTCTCAGGTGCAATGAGGGCCGTATTGGTAGACAGTGTGAGTGCAGCACCAACGAGGTGACCAGTGAAGACCTGGATAAGAACTGCCGTAAAGACAACGGTACAGACATCTGCAGCAACAACGGAGACTGTGTGTGTGGAACCTGTGAGTGTAAGAAGAGAGAGAACCCCGAGGAACGCTACAGCGGGAAGTTCTGCGAGTGTGACAACTTCAACTGTGACCGCTCCAACAACAAACTCTGTGGAGTTCAGTTTAGGCCCCTACTGCATTGCAATAGGCATTATACGATAAATGGTTAGTAATCTGGGGGACCATTAACTTTTAGCTCCCACTTTCCTATTGTGGGATGGTTATTTGTATCGGCTGTTGATTGTATTACAGGCCTACATATCCTGCTATGATAGAAATAAAAAAAAGATAAGGAAATAAATATCTAAAAAATAGAGACAGCCGAGTCTTCTTGTATAAAAAAAAAAACACTAAGAAATGTACATTTTCAAACATGTTTACTAATAAGAAAAAAATATATAATAAAGATTAGTTTAGTCCCCCAAACGTAGATTGGGGAAGTGAATAATATGATCAATTATTGGATTATCAATAAAGATTTTGTTTGCTGTGAAATGATGGTCAAGACCTGTGTAACATCTTCCTCAGAGCACAAACTACCTCTGTGTTTGTGGCGTAATGGGTAATTTCCCAATTAAATTAGAGATCAGTTGATTAGTTCAGACATCACCTTTTACGAAATTAGATTTATCGTGTTCAATTTAGCTTCATTTAATCTCTAATCTAGAATATTATCTATAATATGAAATTATGTTTGAACTTTGGAGGATAATCTCTGACCCTGTGTGTTGTGGCAGGACATGGTCGCTGTGAGTGCAGGGTGTGTATCTGTGATGCCAACTGGACAGGCAGTGCCTGTGACTGTTCTCTGGACACCACGACCTGCCTGGCCTCCAACAAGCAGATCTGTAATGGACGAGGCACCTGTGAGTGTGGCACCTGCAAGTGCACTGATGCAAAGTTCCAGGGTCCCACCTGTGAGATCTGTCCCACCTGTCCAGGGGTCTGCACAGAACACAAGAGAGTTGAATGAATTAATTGTATTTGTTCATTTTAATGGGGTTTTAACTAAGCAGAAAACAGCAATAATTAAAAAGTTTATTTCCAAAACACAATTATAATTTTTTTGTAATCACATTTGTGTTTTTCGTCAGAAATTATTCGTTATTGGTACCTTCATGTATGTGTAAAATATTACTGTTCTCAGAATTTTGGGGGGATAGATTTTTGTCAACCACAATGCAAACGGTATGCTTTAGTCTCAGGTCCTGTCTGTCCATTGTTTAGCTGGAATATATATCCTGTATATTTGACTGTGATACATTGCATTCGGAAAGTATTCAGGCCCCTTGACTTTTTCTACATTTTGTTACGTTAAAGCCTTATTCTAAAATGGATTCAATTGTTTTTTCCCATCATCACTCTACACACAATACCCCAAAATGACAAAGCAAAAACTGAATTTTCATTTTCTTTGCAAATTTATTAATTCATTTACATATAGTGCCTTGCAAAAGTATTCATCCCCCTTGGCGTTTTTCCTATTTTGTTGCATTACAACCTGTAATTTAAATTGATTTTTATTTGGATTTCATGTAATGGATATACACAAAATAGTCAGAATTGGTGAAGTGAAATGGGAAAAAAATAACTTGTTAAAAAAATAAATATGGAAAAATGGTGCGTGCTTATGTATTCACCCCCCCTAGTCCCTAAATAAGATCTGGTGCAACCAATTACCTTCAGAAGTCACATAATTAGTTAAATAAAGTCCACCTGTGTGCAATCTAAGTGTCACATGATCTGTCAAATGATCTCAGTATATATACACCTGTTCTGAAAGGCCCCAGAGTCTGCAACACCACCAAGCAAGCAGCACCATGAAGACCAAGGAGCTCTCCAAACAGGTCAGGGACAAAGTTGTGGAGAAGTACAGATCAGGGTTGGGTTATAAAAAAATATCTGAAACTTTGAACATCCCACGGAGCACCATTAAATCCATTATTAAAAAATGGAAAGAATATGGCACCACAACAAACCTGCCAAGAGAGGGCCGCCCACCAAAACTCACAGACCAGGCAAGGAGGGCATTAATCAGAGAGGCAACAAAGAGACCAAAGATAACCCTGAAGGAGCTGCAAAGCTCCACAGCAGAGATTGGAGTATCTGTCCATAGGACCACTTTAAGCCGTACACTCCACAGAGCTGGGCTTTACGGAAGAGTGGCCAGAAAAAAGCCATTGCTTAAAGAAAAAAATAAGCAAACACGTTTGGTGTTCGCCAAAAGCCATGGGGGAGACTCCCCAAACATATGGAAGAAGGTACTCTGGTCAGATGAGACTAAAAATTGAGCTTTTTGGCCATCAAGGAAAACACAATGTCTGATGCAAACCCAACACCTCTCATCACCCCGAGAACACATCCACACAGTGAAGCATGGTGGTGGCAGCATCATGCTGTGGGGATGTTTCTCATCGGCAGGGACTGGGAAACTGGTCAGAATTGAAGGAATGATGGATGGCGCAAAATACAGGGAAATTCTTGAGGGAAACCTGTTTCAGTCTTCCAGAGATTTGAGACTGGGACGGAGGTTCACCTTCCAGCAGGACAATGACCCTAAGCATACTGCTAAATCAACACATGAGTGGTTTAAGGGGAAACATTTACATGTCTTGGAATGGCCTAGTCAAAGCCCAGACCTCAATTTTTCAGATTTTATTTTATTTTGCATCTTCAGTGGTAGGCATGTTGTGTAAATCAAATGATACAAATCCACAAAAAATCCATTTTAATTCCAGGTTGTAAGGCAACAAAATAGGAAAAATACCAAGGGGGGTGAATACTTTCGGATGTCACTGTAAGTATTCAGACTCTTTACTCAGTACTTTGTTGAAGCACCTTTGGCAGCGATTACTGCCTCGATTTTCTTGGGTATGATGCTACAAGCTTGGCACACCTGTATTTGGTGAATTTCTCCCATTATTTTCTGCAGATCCTCTCAAGCTCTGTCAGGTTGGATGGGGAGTGTCGCTGCACAGCTATTTTCAGGTCTCTCCAGTGAGGTTCGACCGGGTTCAAGTCCGGGCTCTGGCTGGGCCACTCAAGGACATTCAGAGACTTGTCCTGAAGCCACTCCTGTGTTGTCTTGGCTGTGTGCTTAGGGTCCTTGTCCTGTTGGAAGGTGAACCTTCGCCCCCAGTCTGAGGTCCTGAGCCCTCTGGAGCAGGTTTTCATCAAGGATCTCTCTGTACTTTGCTCCGTTCATCTTTGCCTCGATCCTGACTAGTCTCCCAGTCCCTGCCGCTCAAAAACTTCCCCACAGCATGATGCTGCCACCACCATGCTTCACCGTAGGGATGGTGCCAGGTTTCCTCCAGACATGAAGCTTGGCACTCAGGCCAAAGAGTTCCATTTTGGTTTCATCAGACCAGAGAATCTTGTTTCTCATGGTCTGAGTGTCCTTTAGGTGCCTTTTGTCAAACTCCAAGCGGGCTTTCATGTGCCTTTTACTGAGGAGTGGCTTCTGTCTGGCCACTCTACCATAAAGGCCTGATTGGTGGAGTGCTTCAGAGATTGTTGTCCTTCTGGAAGGTTCTCCTATCTCCACAGAGGAACTCTGGAGCTCTGTCACAGTGACCATCGGGTTCTTGGTCACCTCCCTAACCAAGGCCCTTCTCCCCCGATTGCTCAGTTTGGCCGTGCGGCCAGCTCTAGGAAGAGTCTTGGTGGTTCTAAACTTCTTCCATTTAAGAATGATGGAGGCCTCTGTGTTCTTGGGGACCTTCAATGCTGCAGAAATGTTTTTGTACCCTTATAATCAAGTATAGTCTGATGGGTGACAATATTAGCCTATCACTTGTGAATGATGCCCAGCATAAGGAAAGAAACCATGCCTTTTTTTTGCGACTTTTTCGAATCATAGTTGCACACCTCATGTAGCCTAGCCCATAGGCCTATATGTTTTGATAAGGTTTGTATCACAACTAAAGTGGCCAAATAACTTCTTAAAATTAAACACATTAATCTGCTTTACAAAGGGTGTAGAGCCTAACTGGCATACATAAGCAGCGCGTGAGTTTCAAGTTTGGGGAAGATCATTTTCACCATAAAAATCCACTTTTATAATAAAAGCATTACATGCATAATTGCATTTGCGGTCACCTTTGATAATGGTGTTTTCCCGCTAATGGAACATTTGTGCTTATAGCCTACTGCCATGTGTGCATTGCTGCGCTTATAATATGAAGAAATAGTCTAATAGATTATCAACATTTAAAGCTAAACGTTCTGATCTGTTGCGTCAGCCACATTACGTAATTTGTTTGGGGGGGATGCTAGTGGTTGTATTCATTTGGAATCTATCGCATCCCACAACTGTCCCAGACTTTGTTTGGAATATTTATTTCTCGCACAGAATAGAATAGGTCAACTTTTGTACTGTGGGGGATAGTAGATTGACATAGGCTATTGCGTTTGCTGTTCGTTAGGCCTACTCATCTTGTTGGCTGACGAAAAGTAAATGTGCACAGTTCTTCCAATATCTTCAATATTCACCTCGGAATTGGATAAGGACGCGCGCAGTTGTGTCTGTCTTCACTTGTAGCCTGTGAGAAAGATCCTATCACGTGATGGAGAGCCATATGAGTGAGAGGTGCTTCGGAGCTCGCAGCACTCAGGGAGAAGGAAACAACGCAGCACTCCGGGCCAAGGGCACAATGGCCACTGGCCGCAAAAGGCATGGATTTATTTAGGGTGCATTACGGCCACACAAAGGGGATGCCGCCGTAAAATTCGAGGCCTTATCCCTTTAAGAGTGTGCTCCTAATCTCAGCTCGTTACCTGTATAAAAAACACCTGGGAGCCAGAAATCTTTCTGATTGAGAGGGGGTCAAATACTTATTTCCCTCATTAAAAATGCAAATCAATTTATAACATTTTTGACATGCGTTTTTCTGGATTTTTTTGTTGTTATTCTGTCTCTCACTGTTCAAATAAACCTACCATTAAAATTATAGACTGATCATTTCTTTGTCAGTGGGCAAACGTACAAAATCAGCAGGGGATCAAATACTTTTTTCCCTCACTGTATAGGAGTACCTATTTCTTTGTTAACCACTCAACACAGAATGCGCACTCCCTCAAATCGTTTGGAGAAAATATCCTTTCTATTTTATTCAGCTTTGTTCAATTGTATTCTTCATACTATAAAATAATATAAATAATGCCAAGGAATTATAAGCAAATCTTGTCTGGTAAATTAACTAGTGTAGCCCACAGCCATTTGGTATAGCCAGATCATGACCGAACATAAGGACAACTCAGAGTATGCTATTCTGTTCGTCTGAAATAGACTACATTTTCTTCATATCATGCTTCTTTAGACCTGTCTAAAATAAATAATGGATTTAATGTGAAGGTGTAGGCTATATTACATGGATTTATTATACTTTTAAAAATGCATTAGTGGCTTGTAGGCTATGTGTGGAAGCCAGGAGATGCTAAATGTGTTTGTGTTAATTAATGTCAATTATAGTGAGACCGACAGTTATTTGCTTGACAATCACCGGCTGACGAAATTTCATGACCGCCACACCCCTACTAGGGAATATGTCAGAAGTCGAGCAAGCATCACAATGTGAGACTACCTGCGTGTGTTACTCCATCTGTACAGAGTTACATGTCAATGTCCTGTCTTCCACAGGGAGTGTGTTCAGTGCAGGGCCTTTGGGACGGGGGAGAAGAAGGACACGTGTAAGAGAGACTGTAGCTACTTCAACCTGATCAAGGTGAAGGACAGAGACAAGCTGCCTCAGCCAGGACAGGCCTTCCCCCTGATGCACTGTAAGGAGAGGGATGCCAATGACTGCTGGTTCTACTACACCTACGCTGTCAACAAGACAGAGAAGGAGGTCCATGTGGTGGAAACACTAGGTGAGAGCATATTACATACAGCCCATATAACATACAGTCATTGTGACTGAGGATATAACAGAGTGAAAAAAATAGATTATTTGTCTGTCTATTGAGTCGTTTTGTGATTAGAGCCAGGTGTTTTTGACCTGACTAGGAAAAATTCCAGGCTCTACTTGTAGTTCTTCCTGGTCAGCTTACATGGTCAGGTAAAGTTCCTGGGCCTATATATTGCAAATCAGGAAGGACGTAATTGTAAATAAGCATTTGCTCTTACAGTAACTGACTTGCCTGCTTAAATAAATAAAAGTTGGGATAACTGAATGTTCCTGGCTGTGTGTTTCCTGCCGTGTTCCATCATCCCCATCGTGGCTGGCGTGGTGGCGGGCATCGTGCTGATCGGCCTGACCTTGCTTCTCATCTGGAAGCTCCGGAGTCACTCACCACCTTCCGGAGACATTTGAAACCCCACCTCTTTAAGGAACACCTGGGATAGGATAAAGTAATCCTTCTACCCCCCCCCCCACAAAAAAATAAAATAAAATAAATTTGTAAAGTGGTTATCCCACTGGCTATAGGGTGATTGCACCAATTTGTAAGTCACTCTGGTTAAGAGCGTCTGCTAAATGACGTAAATGTGCCCTTGAGCAAGGCACTTAACCCTAATTGCTCCTGTAAGTCGCTCTGGATAAGAGCGTCTGCTAAATGACTAAAATGTAAATGTAAATGTAAGCTGCTCATGATCATCCACGACAGGAGAGAGTTCGCCAAGTTTGAGAAGGAGAAGATGAATGCTAAATGGGACACGGTAAGAGAGTGGAGATGGTAGATACAGGACCAGGAAACCATCTTGGAGAACTGTTTGTAATGGCCTATAATGGGGATGATGATGATGATGATGATGTACTTTTGCAGGTCCTAGTTTGTGTTCTCCCTGACTGTAATTTCAGTAGGTTGATTGAGATGTGGAAAACAGGTGTTATAGATATGGCCACTGTGTGAATCTCTTACACAGAGAACAGACTCCTAAAGGAATACAGAATTGGAAATATTTTATGACTGTAACAGACCTGTTGCTTTTGACGATGACTTCATAAGATGTCACACACATTTTTACACAGTCCTACTCAACAGTTTGTTTAAAATGTTCTTAAAACCCTGTAGTTTTAAGTAATCTCTGTGCAAAATACAGTTATGAAAAAAGGAAGCCTTTTTGGAATGCGAAGGTCCCTGGACACACATCTGTCTTTTCGTGGGAGTGGTTACAGTAGCTTAGTTTGTTCGGTGTTATGCTTCCTCCTAGTGGCGTGTTATCCACACTGCAGGCAGAGGTTAAATTCCGGACAACGGGCAGGGTTTGAAATCCTTAATGATTCAGCTCAGCCTGATTATTTCCAGTCAGACCAGCCAGATGTGAGAGCCTCTCTGGTCTGGTGACATGGGCAGGGCACTGAGGCTTCTAGACCCTCTCATTATGGTACATGGAGAAGAAACCAGACCTAAATGACTGTATGAGAGAGCAGACTGACCTGACTTGTACATTTACATTTACATTTAAGTCATTTAGCAGACGCTCTTATCCAGAGCGACTTACAGTTAGTATAGATGTAATAGGGGAATACACCCAGCACTGTAAGATGATTTTCAAAGGGAGATGATCAACCTCTGAATCTTGGATCCTGATGTAAAAATACCCCTTTCTCAAGGGATTGATTGTTTAATTCCCTCTTATTTATCTTTACCCATGCTTTTCATTTCATTCTCTGTTTCCTGTTCTTAAATTTCTGTCCCACTCTCTCAACCCATAGCAAGAGAATCCCATTTACAAGAGCCCTATTAATACGTTCCAGAATCCGAACTATGGACATAAAGCTGTGAGTTTGTATTCACTTTCCCTCTCCTCTGTTTTCCTGCATGGGTTTGTTTGTTTGTGTGTGTATATATATATGTTTCTTTATTTGTGTTTGTCAACTTACTGTAAACTGTCACTATTTCATCAATCTCAATATTTCTGGCTTTCATTTGGTCTCTTTGGGCCACGTAAGACAGTTGATGAAACTGCAGAAAGATCCATATGAGGGGATATTAAAACCCACAATAATACCTATTGTTTTGTTGGTCAACATAAACTGTCCCCTCTGTTAGTAGTTTGAATAGAGGTAAGTATTAACAGGTGATAACATGGAAGCCTAGTATAGTATTTTGTATGATATTTGAAGCTAGACTATGATGGAAATGGCATGTTGTGACTGTGACGTTTGTTGATATTTCTTCTAAAAGTGTTACCTGGATGACAACACATAAATGTTCTCTCACAATAACACCAAACAGTTGAAAAGATCTGTCTAAAGAATGCTTAATAATAATTTGATATTCTAAATGGATGGCTCTGATTTTGCTGTGGTATTTTTTCCTAGTAAATTGTCTCATGTTGCAGCTGTTGTCACACGACTGACATGTTATGTGACAGATAGAATTGTAATGTACAGTCAGACATATTATAACGTTTTTCTTGTGCCTTCCAGGGCGAAAACCCTACAAGCAGTGGCGACCCATCATTCAGGGCAGGTAGAGCCCCACCTGTTTGCCTGTTTTGCATGTTATTTTGGCATTAATACGTGTCACATATCAGTTTGCAAACAATGTACCAAAAAATTATAATTGAGTTAATAAAGCCTCATATAAACATGGTCACGTTTTTGCTTTCTTGAGTAAGGTAGCTCCAAAATGCAGGTGTTTCAGCCTAGCTCAGTGCTTTCTGTGGTGGTGTGGGCAGCCAGTGGAAAGACGGAGCGTAGGGGTTGGTAATGTTCTCTAGTTGCGCCGTGATTGGCTCAGTGTTCTGTCACCCATGGGGACACTACATCACCTCAAAATCTACGGGTAGAGCTCGAAGATTCAAGCCCCTTGGGTGCTGCCATAGAGTTAGATTAGAAATGCCCATCCAAGAAGGCTCAAGGTCATTGGCCACAGATAAAATGATGTCAAATCACGTTATATAATAATAATAAGCCATTTACATTTACATTTTAGTCATTTAGCAGACGCTCTTATCCAGAGCGACTTACAGTTAGTGAATACATATCTTTTTTTCTTTTACTGGCCCCCCGTGGGAATCGAACCCACAACCCTGGCGTTGCAAACGCCATGCTCTATCAACTGAGCTACATCCCTGCCGGCCATTCCCTCCCCTACCTTGGACGACGCTGGGCCAATTGTGCGCCGCCCATGAGTCTCCCGGTCGCGGCCGGCTGCGACAGAGCCTGGATTCGAACCAGGATCTCTAGTGGCACAGTTAACACTGCGATGCAGTGCGATGCAGTGCCTTAGACCACTGCGCCACAGATGCTTTTATCCAAACCGACTTACAGTCATACGTGCATACATTTTTAGGTATGGGTGGTCCCGGGGATCGAATCCACTACCCTGGCGTTACAAGCGCCATGCTCTACCAATTGAGCTACAGAGGACCACTATATCTATATCTACAGTATCTTTGATTGGACTTACCATGTCAATATCATACTTTCAAAATCTTAGCTAGCAGGCTAGCAGTCATCATCATGAATCAAGTCGACAATCTACTGGCAAATCCTTTTCAATCCTTGTCATATGAAGAGAAATAATGAAGAAAAATTATAGATAAAACGTATCGGTGCTCATCAGCCATTGGACATAAACATTACACAACAAGTTGGAAATCGCAAATTCAACAATGAGTGTTTGGAAGGAATCAGTGGCTAATGCAAGCATTGCAAAGCAATCACTAGCCTGCTATTCAGTGGAGTGGATAAACATTCAACATTGGCCATGCTGTCAATCCAGCATGACTTCTGCCACGGTCAAAACAACTGGGAACTGGGAAATCTCAGACTTCAGTGAGTTCAAGACAACTGGGAACTCGGGAAAAAAATTAGCTCCGACTGGGAAAATACATTTTGAACGGTCATCCAACTCGGAATTGCAAGTTGGGAACTCAGGCCTCTTTCTAGACCTCCGACCTGAAGATCACTGACGTCATCATGATTCGACCTTGGAGTTCCCAATTGTAATGAAATCACCATAAATCCAGAGAATGCCAGACTTTGATGACAAAGTTTGATGACAAAATCTGTCCACGAATGACCACCGCGCCACCTTCATGTTCAAGTGAGGACAGCACAACAAGGTGAGTCCAAAAATTGTCTAGTATGCTGCTGCATAAATAATGTAATATGCCAGGGAGATATGTATACTGTAAGAAAGTAATACTAAGTGTATGTTGTGCAGTAAGCTGTTAGTAGCCCATGTGCCTCACCCTAATAATTTGGTCCCGTTTCCCCTCTTAATTTAGCCTACTGTTCTGACTTGGTGGTGCACATGTAGCCTATAGCCTGTTTTAGAAAAATGTAATCAGCAAATATTGTAAGAGCTTTCATTGTCTGCTTATATGCCCCCATTATGTATCCTACGGTTCTGACTTGGTGTACAGGGAGAATACTGTAATGTTCTGAATTCTGTCGCTGTACATTCAAAAGCGCTGAACAAATAGTTATATTGACTATGTCCATCCTAGCTCCCTCATTAATGTCTTAATCTAAATTACGGATTGCCTCTTATGCGCTTGTCGTCCCCTTATGCCATAGTTTGTACATCTCAATTGTCAGTAGAAACCACATTTGTTTAAGCAAGTCAGAGTGCTGTTACAACAGTGGTCAACCACAAATATGAAGGCAAATGATGGAGCTTCAGTTCTCCCTGAAAAACACTGTATGCAAATATAGTTCTAGCGGATAGAGGGTGAGAGGGATAGGGGCATGGAAGGTGGGATTCATTGTATATATTTAGCTATTTCTTATTTTTGTCGCTTCAGTATTATAATATTACATTTGGCCAATACACTTGGTATTTTTAATAACATTTTATTTTCTATTCATTGTCTTTAAAAAATGTACAGTTATGTGTATATACTTTTAGATGCTTTCTTTCATTTCTTGAACAACTGGTTGAAATTAAGGTTTTTGCCACAGGACTGGTATGGGCAAAAGGTTGTACCTTTCAGAGACAATGTATTCCAAATGGCACTCTATTCCCTTTATAGTGCACTACTTTTGACAAGGGCCAATGGGCTCTGATCAAAAGTAGAGAACTACTGTATATAGGGAATGGAGTGCCATTTGGAACGCAGCAATTGAGTTTCAGACAGGACCTGAGACTAAAGCATACCTTTTGCATTGTGGTTATAAAGTATTTTTTCAGCCATAGGTTAAACACATAGATTTGTGTATAAATTTGTCATCCATCTAGCAGGAATACAAGAATCTGGATTTATCATTGAGCGCAGTTTTTAAAGATTCATTTCTCACGTCAATCACATAATTGTCAATCATAGAAAACCATTGGTTGACTCTAACCAGATAACATTTAATGGGTGAAGAAGTGCTAAGAACTATTACATTGATGTTTTAAAAGTGATCATTGCACTATTGATGAGGACCAGTTTGCCTTGCGAAAAGACTGAAAAGACTAACAATACATTCTGTCATAAGACTGTCATAAACAGTCTATTTTAAAAGGATTGAAAACCACTTGTATTAATGGGATAAAGTAATCTAAATCACTTAATTACACAATCAATTGACATGTCTTTATGTGTATAATATAGTTATTCTATAGCATTTCAGTATTCAACCTCAGGTCCTTTTCTGTGCTCATTCCAAGCAAAGCCAAATAATGCCTTCATTGCAAAGCCTTCCCACTGGGTACAGACGTCAATTCAACTTCTATTCCATGTTGGTTCAACGTGATTTCATTGAAATGACGTGGAAACAACGTTGATTCAACCAGAGTGTTTCATGTTGATCAATGTAAAAAATTGTGAATACTGATACAAGTTAGCTTTTGAAATCACAGGGCTGGGTGTTATAGCGATCTGGTGCCTGATGGCACAGTCAATGACATGGCACCCGACCATTGGTTGATGCATGCAATGTCTGAGTAGGGGAACAGGACCAAAGTTAACCCGGTGCCTTGGTTGAACCAGGACACAGACAAATAAGGTCATCCAATTACAGAGCTGCAGCCAATCGGAACAGCGGACGAATTTCATTCAAAATCAAGCGGGAAGCCAAAGACACGTCTATTCAATTCAAACTCTCAAATCCAATGTAGGTTGGCTAGGGTACAGCACTTACCTTGGTCGTTTTCATCTGCTCAGACATTGCTGATGCATGTCAGATCTTACAACGCCTGGATAGCTATTTCACATATCAGCTAACAACATCATCATGTTATAGCAATCTGGTGCCAGACTGCACAGTCGATGACCTGGCACACAACCATTGGTTGCGCAACCTTTATCTGTTGAAAGGTTCTTCAGTGTGTGTCCATCGGCGATCAGCCTTTTTGCCTTGTCTTGCAGTCAGCAAAAAGCAGGTGTAATAAAAAATTATATTGGACCATACCGTTGGATGCCAACCGCCGATAAACCCCACAGAAGAAGAGGCGTGGTCGACACGGTAGCTAGCTAGCTAGGACAACAGTATACAAAGGAATCTCAATTGCATGCTCTTCGCATACACTCTCCTCTCTTCTCGCCTCCTTCTCAAAATCCATTGGAGGAGAAGCTCAGATTATCCATTTGGAAGAACCATTTGCGACCTAGCTTTAACTTCCTGACTGATGTCTTGAGATGTTGCTTCAATATATCGACATCATTTTCCTTCCTCAAGATGCCATCTACAGTGAGGGAAAAAAGTATTTGATCCCCTGCTGATTTTGTACGTTTGCCCACTGACAAAGAAATGATCAGTCTATAATTTTAATGTTAGGTTTATTTGAACCGTGAGAGACAGAATAACA